AAGTAATGGAACAAATAATCTTAAAGTAAATAACATTTAATATTTGGTAACATAAGCCTTGCTTGCAATAACTGGCTCAAGCCTGCGACCCATCGACATCACCAAACTGTTGCATTCTTCATTTGTGATGCTATTCCAGGCTTTTACCGCAGCTTCTTTCAGTTCTTGTTTGTTTTGGGATGTTTCTCCCTTCAGTCTCCTCTTAAGGAGGTGAAATGCATGATCTATTGGGTTAAGGTCATGTGATTGACTTGGCCAGTCTAAAACCTTCCACTTTTTCCCTCTGATGAAGTCCTTTGTTTTGTTGGCAGTGTGCTTTGGCTCATTGTCCTGCTGCATGATAAACTTCCTCCCGATTAGTTTCACTGGGTTTCTCCATAAATTGGCAGACACAATGTTTCTGTACACTTCTGAATTCATTCTGCTGCTACCATCATCAGTTACATCATCAATAAATATTAATGAGCCTGTTCCAGTAGCAGCCATGCTCGCCCAAGCCATGACATTACCTCCACCATGCTTCACAGATGAGCTTGTATGCTTCGGATCATAAGCAGGTCCTTTCTTTCTCCTTTCTTTCTCCACACTTTGGCCTTTCCATCACTTTGGTAGAGATTAATCTTGGTCTCATCAGTCCATAAAATTGTGTTGCAGAACTTTTGCGGCTCATCTCTGTTTTTCTTTGCAAATTTCAATCTGACCTTCTAATTCTTCCTGCTGATGAGTGGTTTGCATCTTGTGGTGTGGCCTCTATATTTCTGCTCTCTGAGTCTTCTTCCAACAGTGGATTGTGATACCTTCACCCCTGCACTGTGGAGGTCGTAGGTGAGAGCTGTGATTTTCTGTCATCAACTACTGTTGTTTTCTTGGCCGACCTGTTCGACGTCTGTTGCTCAGTACACCAGTAGTTTCTTTCTTTTTCGGGACTTTCCAAATTGTTGTGCTTGCTATGCCCAATGTTTGTCCAATGGCTCTGGTTGATTTTCCTTCTTTTCTCAGCTTGACAATGGCTTGCTTTTTTCCACAGACAGCTCTCTGGTCTTCATGTTGGTTTATCCTCTTTAACAGGAAATGCAGTCTTTATAGGATGAAAATTTAGACTAGTCATGCAGAGCTATTTAATGTTTGGACAATCAACCTAAAAGGCAACACCTGGGCAACAAGAAACATCTGTCAGTCACATGTTCCAATAGTTTTGCTCACTTGAAAAATGGGTGGGTTCAAGCAAAGGGTGGTAGGTTTCATACTCATATTTTGATCTTAAACCCAAATGTCTTCAGTAAACAACAACAAACAAAGGAATTTGCCTTAACGTTCCAATACTTTTGGAGGGGACTGTAAGAGAACTGATTTCTTCCTCCTTCTTTTTTTTTTAACCTTATTTAGAAATAAATCTTATCTGGACAAGTCTAGAGGAAATTTATATTTACATTTTGTTCAGTTTTAAAATAAGAAATGAAGACAGTGCAATATATTTATAATTAATATTTATATCGTTTCTTTTAATCTTGCCTAGCCGTTTGATCGTGGTTGTTGGTGTTGGGGACAGCTCACCTGAGATACAACGCCTTCATCTTATATTTACATGCCAAATTAACCTAAATAAAAGTAGATTGACGTGGATGTAAAATATAAATAACCCATCTCTGATTAATTAAGCATACTGTATTATCTCACTGTGAATGATTGGTATATATCTAACACCACTGCATCTTTCTCACTATACTGCTAGATTTATACTTGGGAGAAAGGATTATAGAGATGATTATGTTGACCTTGAGATACCTTACACTGGCATAGCTGTGAAAAATTCTCCTTTTCTGGCTCCTCGCCACCACCTTTCTCCCCCCAGGACGAACCCACCAGTTAAGGGTGCACTGCAGCGCAATAGGCCACCCCATCGTTGGGGACTTCACGTACAGCTCGGGAGTGGACGATGCCCCCTACCGCATGATGCTGCATGCTCACCTCCTCCATATTCCCCTGGAACCTCAGCCCCTGCTCGTCTCTGCCGGAGACCCCTTTGTCCCCACGGAGGATCCCAAGTGGCTCCCGCAGCGCTCCTTAAGACCACTGACAGCCACTGTGGAGGCCCTCCTGGAGCACGAGGTGGAGAAGGGCCGGAAGATCAGAGAGGAGGAGAGAGAGAGGGCGAGAAAGAAGGAGGAGAGGAGGAAAGGAAGCAGGGAACAGAGCACTCAGGAGGAGAGTGAGGAGCAGAGGAGGGAGTGTCAAGAGTGGCTGAGTGAATGGGCTGGAGACTGATGGAGTTTTTTTGTATAATTATTTATTTTAATTTATTTTAGCTGTTTACTTATGAAGACCATGTTGAGCATGCACGCTCTATCTCATTGACCACCTGCCTTGTATTAAAAGGGTATACACAGACATGAACCTTAGTTCCTTCACAAGCCAGTTACAAGCCAGTTACGTTACAAAAGAAGTGTGTGTGAGTATGTAAATTACTGCTCTCGTAAACAATTCATAGCTGCTCGCTATAACCAGTCCTTTACAATGAGCCGCTGAGCGACTTTTACTGCAGTAGCTGAGAAATAAGTGCCTTGCTCAAGTTCATGTTCATAAGTGAGGGATTCATGCCATTCATTATTTTAATATAAATCCACTGTAATAAGAGTAACTATTTAATTGGGGATTTTTGTCACAAGTTTATGCCAGATATTGTCAGATGAAATAAACCTGGTAGGGGGGCCTGAAAAGGAGCAGTTGATCTGAATTTGTCCAGGAAATGCTGGTTAAGTCCAAGTGTGTTGTCACATATGCTGCGTGGCTGTAACATACATGGAATCCTATGTAAGATCATATAGCCTGTATGTTTCTTTGCATTTTGACATACAGTCACTGTATTCAACCCCCTTCCTTGTTTTTTTTATGTCTGATTGTTTTACAATGTTGAATCTCACTGTTTAACGAAAAAGCTTTTGTCAATGTAAAAATGTATCTTCGTTCAATAATAACATAAAAAGCTGAATAAATGGTTGAACTAACTAAATCATCACTGTTGCAGCTAGTTGTCAAGAAATTGTAGGTTAAATGCATCTGCAACTGGAAGGGCCCAAAAGCTGGTTTGTCTATGTCCTGGCAAAAAAAAACACTACCAAGGAATACACCAAACAAATATGTAGTAGTGTACTAAAAATATAGCAATCAGGGGAAGGATGGAGGGACATTTCCAGGGCACTCAATATCTTTGGGAGTACAGTAACGTTAATATAAAATGTAAAGAGTAAGGCACAGGTGTTAATTTGGCTCGAGCAGCATGTACTCAAAAACAAAGTCGGTGAGGAGGGCTCCATGAAAAGAGGACACCAAGAGGTCCATGGCGGCAATGATGGAATTTTCAACTTGAATAAACATCACCAGAAACATTTTATTCACAGCTCCTGCTACCTGTTGCTGCACAAAGTATAAGGCGACAGAACTATGCAATTCATATTGTCCGAATGCATGGCGGTGGCTTTAAGTTTTCGCCAGAGAGAGAGAGACATAGGTAAAATTCAAAGCACAAACATGGTATTTATTAGCTTCCATACAGACATGATGAGACACCAAATCAGCAACAAACGTATACTGAAAGCAACTAGCTGCCTTATGTACACTCCCTCCTGCAGGTAATTAAGTGGGTAAAACTACTTGGGTGGGACCACAATCATTTAGAATAATTAATATTTACCTAAAACCCAACACTGTAGAAAAATATAGCACAAAGAATGAATATTGACATAAATACAAATTTCTATCAATAAATCAAAAACACATACACTGAAAATAATCACATAAATCAACATTGTTGATGTCTTTACTCCCCTTAATCTCAGCTTCATGGTTTGTTCCTGCAGCTCTTAAGGTGCTTGGGCCTACACTACTCTTCTGCCCCCCTGCTGAGAAGACAACCAGGAAGAGGTAAGTACTAGCATTGTTTGCTTTAGCTGTGTGAGCTAATTTGATATCTAACTGGATTAGAGTAGAATCACTTAATACTATGTTGTGAACCTTGACTATTAATGATTAAGGTTTCTTGTCACACAGGCAGGATGGCCAGACCCCCCCCCCCTGTGCTTCCTCAACCTCCTCTGGAACTACTCACGGCAAAGAAAGTTCTCAAATATTTCACTACTTTAAATAAACAATCAAAATAAGAATGCCTATGGCTTTATCATTAATCCCCACATAGATACTTGGTTACCTATTTCAGGTAATGGAACCCCTGGTCTCCATTATGCATATCATGAATCCATGTGGCACACCTGTCCAGTTTTAATCCTTCCATACAGGTTGTTCTCATGTTCTGTTGCCGCACCCTGAGACCACCATGGTGGTGGTGTAGATAAAACCTTTTTTTTCCCCCCAGTCATTGACTACCCACAGTTGATCTTTCTTAGACTGCTGCAAATGCATGAAGGGTAGCTTTGAGATGCCTGTCATTAAACTGACCATAACTGGCCCCTTTTCAATGTCTCTTAAGCGGATTGTATGCACATGTAATGATGTAGCCTTTGTAAACGGCATGGGCTACTACTTGACCAGAGACAGGATCTCTAATTTTGTGAAGTGCTATAAATGAATGGGAAGGCTTTTCTTGGGGACTAAGTTGGCATCAAATAAAATGTACAGGAATGTGCATCTGTTCTACAAACACTACTGACCAAGGTGCTCCTGTTCATCCAAATGGGTTTGTGGAGGGTGAAAGTTATTTTCCACTATGCTCAGTAGCTTGAACAGCATCATCATGAATACAAATCCTACTGGTTAAATGCAGAAAGATCTATCAGAGCTTATAATGCAACTTCTATTAGGATGTTGTCCCTGAATGCCCATGGTTGGTCCTGCAAATATTCCTAAAAGGTTATTTTACCTTAGGAATTATATGTTGAACTGACGTGCTTTTGTTTAATTTAAAATAAAGTTAAAACCACAGGCCTAAACGAGGGAAGAAAGTCCACAGTGTAGCGGGATGAGAACGACATTACCCATAATGCCCCAGTTCTCGAGAAAAACGTCTACAAGTCCGCTACGAGGAAGCGAGGCTTCAAAAACAGACAGCAGCAGAGTGAGGTTATAACTACTGTCTAGTTTTGTTTTTTTAAATGGGGGTTTTAAGAAATTAATCATTGGGTTTATTTTATTCAAATAGTGGAAGCATAAAACTTCAATAATCTCGTTTAAAATGAGCTCCCCCGTTTTCTCGTATGAGAGCTTGGTTCACGCTGTCTCAGGAGCAGTGGTAAGTTAGCTTTACTTTCCCTATTAATATCTGTAGCTGAATGTATAATTGCTGTAATGTTAGCTGTGTAGTTGGTGCCCTTTAACGCTGTAAAATTGCGGCACAAAACTCCATTACACATGAAACGTGCCCTGACGTTTTCGACACGATAGCGCTACAAACTACAGTGAATAGACCATGATTTGTGCATTTTGAAATGTTTTGATCAACCTTTTTATTCGGCAACCTGCCAAACCTACCTACACTAAGAATAGTGTTTTATGACCATTCAATAAATTCAGTATCTTCCGTGTCTTTTTAAATTTTTTCAATGGAGTTTGGTGTAATATTCCATATTGAACCAAAAGGCATTGCAAATCTCCGTGTGACTCTTACCTGGTTTTAGGGAAGTGTGACTGCCATGACGGTGTTCTTCCCTCTTGACACTGCCAGACTGAGGCTTCAAGGTAAGAAACGCAAGCAGGTAGTGATGCAGTCTTATTTGCAGTAATTATAGTTATCAGTGTAACGTTAATGTGTTTATTCAAAACATGTCTTTCGTTTGTGTTCAGTGGATGAAAATAGAAAGGCCAAATCAACTCCAGCCATTCTGGCAGAAATTGTCAGAGAGGAAGGACTGTAAGTGCTTTTTTTGCATTAGACTGACTTAGATTTAGTTGCAGTTGTCTCGATTCTATGTCTTAGCTTTGTCAGTTCATATATGTAAAAACAAAGCATATGTTTACATATGTACAGTATTGTATATGCATTGCTGTCACACTGTACCCATAGTCATTTTGAATACCTCAAATTGAAGCAATAGTTAAAGTTCTCAAATCTTTTTCATAGTGGCTTTAATGTTTTACCCCAAAGCGGTGTTGGTTATTGCAGTCTTTTGAGACACATTTCAGGATCATACTGTTTTTTAGAATCCTGACCTCCCTAAAACACACACTGAAAAAGGTGCAAAGACAAGAGATGTCCACTACAGTATAGAAGTAGAAGTGCTCTAAGATGTGTTCCTTGGTTTGCTGTCCCCCCTGCAGACTATCTCCCTACAGAGGTTGGTTCCCGGTCATCTGCAGCCTGTGCTGCTCCAACTTTGTCTACTTCTACTTCTTCCACAGCCTCAAGGCTAGCTGGCTGAAGGGAAAGCAGTCAGCACCCAGCACTGATTTAATCGTTGGCATCGCTGCAGGTAAAGCCTAGTTCACACTACACAATTTTTAGCTCTTTGTCTCTGTAGCTCAGACAATCCCTGCTACCTGCATGTACTAATCCATTCTTTCACCCATATTCTTTCTTTATTATTGCCATCTTTATTATAACAAACAGCTGTTTCCTGTGTAGGTTTGCATCGTTTCACGTTTTTTCTTGACAAAACGTGGTTTGGAGATCAGCGTCGGGTGACAGAGCTGCTGTCAGCTCGTGTAGTGTGTGACCCCCTGTCACCGATCAGTCACGTAGTGTGAATGCCACAACAACTTCAAGACTCCCGTCACAAGACGGCAAGTTGTGTAGTGTAAACAGCACGGCCATCGGTCTGCACGAGCCTTAAGAGGGTCCAGATCATAAATGCCTTCTTTCAGTGACCCAGGAGAAGAAAGTCCATCTAATTTCAGATTAGAGTCCACATCTTCATGACTGAGCAGGGTGACCTCTAATATAACCTATAACCATATTTATTTTTTTTTTTTTCAACGCGACTTTTCAATATGTCAGGCTGGGGGTAAGGGTTGGGAGATGTCAACAAAATTTCCATCGGACGATGTCTGTGCATGTGTTACGTGCATAGGTCACACATTTTGGTGTCACAGGTGTTTACCTGAGGTGTAGGCCTCTTGTGTGTCTGTGTGTGGGGAGAAGAGAATTCCGAGGAAGGTGCAAAGCATATTTAAAATTTATTAACATTTGTGGTGATTAAAACCTGCTTTTACACAGAGGTATTGTGTGAAAAATTAGGGGTTTTTTGCCAGAGGTTGGGGTCTTACAATCACGATGCCTGCTCAACTATCGACCATCTGTCAGCCATCCGGGGATTGAACCGCTGATCTTCTGATTTGTGGAACAGTTACGTGATGTTCTCTGTATAGATATGATGATGCTAAAAGATGAGCAAGTGTTTGCTTTGGTTGTTGCAGACAGGATGGAAATGATAAAAATTACTCAGGGCTCCAATAATCAGAAAAAGAAAAATGAAAATAACAAAACACTAAATAAATGGCCACTAGAATAAATAAGATAAGACTACTACTTGTTCATCCGAGTGGTGGCTGCTGGAACAAAGCTATTTTGTACTGCTTTGTTCTACCTCATCTTTCATGCCTCCTTGTCTCTAGGTGTTGTAAACGTACTGGTTACCACTCCTTTGTGGGTGGTGAACACCAGGCTGAAGCTTCAGGGTTCCAAGTTTCGCAATGCTGACATACAGCCCACCAACTACTCTGGCATTCTGGGTAAACAGTCATAGACTGATCGTCCTTATGCTCTTTAAGGCAGAAAAGTCTGTATTTTTACAAACAGTATGTGGCATTTAGTGCCATACCTGGATGCTCTTTGATTTAAAAAACGGCTTTTGTTTCTCCAGATGCATTTGTGCAGATCATCCGTGATGAAGGCGTTGGTGCACTGTGGAACGGGACCTTCCCGTCGCTCCTCCTGGTGCTCAACCCGGCCATCCAGTTCATGATTTATGAAGGCCTGAAGAGGCAGCTGAGGAGAGGAGTACCCAGGGAGGTGAGTGAAAAATGGAGCGAGATGAGGAAGGCATTAGGGGTTTGTAAAAACTTTTGAAGGATAGGGAAGGAGTGCTGAAATCAGAGCAGTATTTTAGTGGAAGGAATGCTGGGTAAGGGCACAGATGCAGGTAGAAGGATGATATAGGAAGAGCAAAGTTGAAAATGTGGTGTTAAATAATTTGCATTGTCATTTATCAAACAAAATTGAGACAACGTAACAGCACATTTGAACATCACTGAAAGTCGAAACATAAAATATAGACTATATATAAAAGCCCAAATATGTTCAACTTGAGTTAGAAGGATCAAAAATAAAAGGTTAAGGATAAGACAATATATATAGTATATAAGACATAATAGAAGTACATGCATAAAAGATTAGACGTAAGGAGAAACCATTTTCTGCCATTAGTGACAGCACTCAGTGAGAACTGCCTAGATTACCGCACCTAAAATGTATCAATAACATTTTAAGCGTGCCTCCATTGTTTCTATGGGCATAGAAATCATTGTAAACCTGTTGACTTATACTTAATAACAAAACAGTAATATTAACATTTACATCATGGTTATAAGGCAAATGACAATATGTGCTTGTAGTTAGCCACTGGAAAAGTAAAGGGGGATGTAACTTCAGGTCACCCCGTCATCTGGATGAGTGGACACTCAGTATGCAGGGACTTGGTAATTCTGTTCACATGATTTTTGTGTGGCTTAAGCAGAGGCGACAGAGACCGCAGAAGCAGGCTATATGGCTGAACATGTGTTTTTGCCAAATTTCATACCACGTGCATTTTGACATTTTCGTGGTCTACTGGAGCAATTGTGTTAGTCAAGGTTCATCTGATGCTCACAGTAAAGGAGGGGAGAGTTGGTGTGGACGTTTGAACCCTGTAAAGCCTCTAGGCAAGCATACTCCTAAGACCTTTAGGCTGCCCCTGTTACTACTAATAATAATATGAAATGTTTTCTTCTTTCCCCTCCAAGCTGTCATCTGTTGAGGTCTTCATCATTGGTGCGGTTGCCAAAGCGGTTGCCACCACTGTTACGTACCCACTGCAGACAATACAATCCATTCTTAGGGTAAGATTTGTGTCCACACTATGTCTGTTCCTGTTCGTGCACACATGCAAAGTGAGAGACAAACAAAAAACAATGCCAGTATAATCTAAAAGACGCACACACAAATACTTCACATTGGAGCTTTAAGAACATGTGTGTTTTTTTGTGTTAAAATCCCTACAGTTTGGTCAGTTCAGTGATTCAGCGGACAGGTCAAAACTACTTTCCAGTCTAAGGACTATCAAGTATCTATTGGTCAATAGAGTGAGGTGGGTGCAAACACATGTTTTCAAATAAGGTTGCAATTTTAATTTTGTCTAATTTCATGGCTCCATAGAAGGTCCTCTTGTGTAGACCCGGTGCATAATACAATGATGAAGAATACATTTAACTCTTGCACTTGTAGCAGTTGATGTGAAGGAATTTGTTACAACTGTTTTCAGACTGGCAGCCCAAATCTGGTTATGTCTTATCTGGATTAGAATTGGCTCACTTTGATGCAATCTGGCCAGTAAAGTACAGATTAACATTCATTCATCATCAATAGCTGGGTATATCACAAGTTGGCCTCTCAAATCTGTTTGCCATGAAGAAGTACAACTAGAAAACACATCTCCATCATCTGGCCTTAACCTTGCTCTTATGGCCTTAATACAAGCTGGCATATGTAAATATTGTGTCTGTTACCACATACACCACTGCAGATGAGTTAACAGTGCTTGAATACACAAATCTAGCCTGATCACTTGCAAATAATTGAACATTTAAACTTTTGTATTCATATCCCCCAAATCTCATACTTTTGCCTTTGAGGTTCACTTGGACAAGTGTTCCAAAATTGCTCCTTTCAACTTATCAGATACAACCTGTTCATGAGTACCTGCACATTCATGAGATTTGATCATTGGCATAATCAACGGCCCTAAAATTGCCATATAAGGCAACCGTAAAGTCCTGCTTATAGAAATCGGTAGACAAAAAAAGCAGTTTAGCAGAGTGGGTAGTCATTTTAGAGGACCTGAAATGGTTAGAAAATATGAATAGTACAGCTGTCAACGATGTGTCATCAATGCAGCTCTGTACCGTGACAGAAATAATAATAATAAAGTGGGATTAATGGTTTGACATGAAGTTGGAGGGGAAAACGCCTAATAAAAGGGAAGCGGTCCATGACTAATGCGAGAGGTGGTCATTAAACAAGAGAATATCATAGCCTACAGCTTGTGATGTTACGCACCTGTCAGAGTGAGGGAATTTTTGCCATCTACTAAAGTATTAACTGCTGTGTTGAAATATGCCAATAAAGTAAAGAGGGGGGAAAAAACTCTTTTTGCATTGTGTTTTTGTTCATTTCTGCATGTTTCAGGATCACTCATAAATTAGTACTAATAAAGTAGTATTATAAAATTGGTGATGGCCACAAATTTTCTTAAATCCCTTATAAGAACTGTCATACAGCTCTTTAGCTTCTGTGTGTGTGCAGAAAGGCAACGCATGAAATATTATCTGCATGAATGATGTTAACAAGACTTCTACTCTTTCGTATTTAACATAGTGATTATGTTTTGCTCCTGGTTTCCTTCTACAGGAAGTATGGCATGTTGGGTCTGTTTAAAGGCCTGGAGGCCAAGCTGCTTCAGACTGTGCTGACTGCTGCCCTCATGTTCCTTCTCTATGAGAAGATTGCCAGCTGCACCTTCAGAGTCATGGGACTGAGCAACCACTACAAGAAACGCTAGCTAGACACTTCACAGCTAATGGACACTTTACCACATTAAAACACTGATTAATCACTGCTTACAGGCCCCTTATTGGGACTTCCTTGAAATCTGTCACCTTCTTGAAAAACAGTGAAACTTTAATGATGACATCATCCTGCAAATACTCTAACCAATAAAGCATTACAAACGTTTAGTACAGTGGTTCTCAAATTGGGGTCCTTGAGTGGGTTTCAAGGGGTCCCCAGCAAAAAGGGAATCATTTATTTTCACTATTATTCCATCCATAAATAACAAAGTGACCGAATGTGACTATTTTGGTCATGGATTTCATACACTTTCTGGAATAAAACGAATAAAAGCCAAAATCCTATCAGATGGTTGATCCTGGGACAAAATCTTATCAAATGGGGGTCTGTGGTTAAATTTGAGTTTAGGGGTCCTTCACATGAAAAAGTTTGAGAACCACTGGTTTAGTAAACCACTCACCTCAAAATATGCTGATTTTGCTACAGTCCTTAAAAAAATAAATTAAAAAAAAACTAAATAAAAGGCAGCGGGGGGGGGCAGCCTGATGAGAAAAGGTGTTGGAAATCCCGAAACAGACTCATTAAACATGAGTACAATAGCTCCCATGAACTTGAGCTCCCTAAACTTTATTGGCCTTAGATGTCTTGAAGCTACTGAAGTCACTTAAACATATAGTTGTTTTAGTAGTTGTTGGGGAATGAACTGAAGCCTGCTCAGTTTCTCCTGATGTCTTGTTGAAATAATAATAATCCTTATTTGTAGAGCACTTTTCAAAAACAAGTTACAAAGTGCTTTAACAAGTGTAAAGAATAATAAAACAAGATAAGAGCATGAAAAATTAATATAAAATTAGTGAAATACAATAAAATAAAAGGGATAAAATAAAGTCAAATAAGATCGGGAAAGGCTCTCCTATAAAAGTATGTTTTAAGAAGGGACTTGATTTCCTCAGGCAGGCTGTTCCAGAGCCTCGGGGCCCTGACAGAAAACGCTCTGTCCCCTTTAGTTTTCATTCGAGACTCTGGAACAGACAGCAGACCTCTGCCCGAGGATCTCAAGGTACGTGCTGGTGTGTATGGGACTAAAAGTTCAGAAATATAACAAGGCGAGAGGCCATGAAGAGCTTTAAAAGTGATCAATAAAATTTTAAAGTCAATTCTAAAACATACAGTGTAATGAAGCTAAAATAGAAGTAATGTGGTCATATTTCATATTTGAAATTATACAAAGAATGTTTTTCATTTCCACGTACTGTCTTATTTTCATAGCAGGTGATCTACAGGTTGTAGAAAGAGGAATCTAATGAAACCCAATCCCTCAGTTCAGATTCAGACTGAACACCGTAAGAGCCGATCCACTGCACACGTCTGTACAAGGAATCGTTTGGTCCTCCTGTGGAAACCACAGCTGCTGAGTCTAGGTTCCCTTCATAGCTATTTTCTAGTTTCTAGACTTACTTCTGTTTAATCTTCAGGGTAACGGCACAGCGACTGGCTCCTCCCACCAACATGACATCAGGCTCTGAACAGAAACAAGAAAGTCATTATAGAAAGACTTAAAGTGAGTTTCATTAGAACAGAAATGAAACCGAATCAAAGCTGCAGCACCTTCTTTAACCCCCCTTTTGAGTTGAACCTATGCTTCACCAGCCCAGGAGAGCTGACTCATGGTCTTCACACTGGAACCACCACAGGACTGAACGAGCCCCACGGGCCACCTCTATTCTGTTTACCTGTTGAGTTTTGTTTTCCTTCATTGCCCTTTTTCAAATGAGTGAAACGACGCCCCTTGTTTCACTCATTTGAAAAGGGGCAATGACTTGGGAAGATATGAAATTGTTGTGTGACATAGAAACTTATTAAATCTGTTTATTAAAATGACAATGATGACGACTTAAAATGGATTGAGAGAAAACACCATTACATTTTAGGGGCCACAAAGCTGTTCTTGTCACAGGGTGTCTGATTCCTCTTCTGTCCTCAGACATCTTTAATGTCTTTACACCTGTTTGGTTTTCAGCTCAGATGAGTAAGGTGGAAATCTAAACGAAAATAAATGATATTTACAGTGAATAAAATGGTTTCCTCTCCTAATTGTAACAGTTCATAATCATCTAGAAATGTAACAGTGTAAATGTACTTTTCCGGACTTTGGGGCACATAGGTTAATATTTCATTATTAGTTAATATTTCCCTCTTATCAGCATCAGCCCATAGGTTCAGACCGGCGTGAGGCACTCACATGGGACACACGTGGAACAGTCTGCACAAATGGACTTGCGTGGGATAGGGATAAGCAGCATCTCACCGGAGCGGAGCTCGCCCATCCTCCTGCTATACAAATCGGAGGTACGACAGTTTCGCGACGCGGCAGTAGGGCAGACTCATAATTACGTAAGCACTTCAGTGACTGAGGCTCTTCCCTAATAACAAATTGTATTAAAGTTAATTTGTGCCTTTTCACCACCATGGATTCAAAAACCACGAAAGAACCAGAGAAGCACTGCGTCCTGTGCTGCCAAGAAGTCGAAATCTTCGCCTTAGGAAGATGCGACCACCCGGTTTGTTACCGCTGCTCCACCAAAATGAGGGTGCTGTGCGAGCAGAAATACTGCGCCGTCTGCCGGGAGGAGCTCGACAAGGTACGCGTTCTTCCGCTACTGTGGCTCGGGGATGGCGCCTGGTGGTACTAGCTAGGCCGCATCGCTATGGTAGTTCTATTGTAGCTAAACCCGCAGAATTTGGATGATAAACCCTTAGCTGTATTCATAATAAATTACGCGCATTGCTGGTAAACACGACATAGCAACAAACTGCCTACAAACTGCTCAGGCTACTTTTTCTCTCTCGCTGTCATTAGCTTAGCTCAGGTAGCTAACGCTAACATTAGCAAGTCTATGAATGTAGGTTAGCCAGTTAACTCTACCTTATCACAGGTAGAGTTAGCTAACAGGTTGGCCTGAGATATTGGCAGTGTGCTTAGTCCAACTGGCCTCATCCCGTTTATTTTATGTGGTTATGACTTTTTGGTTCAGTTGGCTGACAGTGTAGACATTTAGTAGAGCATGTCACTACTGTCACCTCTCAAACAAACTAGCGTGAGCACGTTAAATGGTTCGCCGGTGCTGTTGTGAAAATGTTTTGAATTGCTTACTGTAGCAGGCCTTTAAGTACTTCTGTACTGCCTTGGGTTTATAAGGTGACAGCCTTCCCTTATTTCCATAGGCTAACCGTCACATTACATAAGATCTTTGTGAGAGTAGTGGTAACGTTACATGAGTAGCATTTACAACCTCTAAAAATGGTCACTTTTACTAAAGTCTTTATCAAACCAAACCCTGTCTCAGAATATAAATTAGGTCTGAACGATATGCAAAAAAAAATGTTGTTTTGACAGAATTTGTATTTCATTTTCTCTGAAAAAAATAAAAAAAAATGATGATGTGATTTTTGCTGGAGTCTGTACCAAATAAGCATGTTCCCTTGCGTGGAGAAAGGATTTGTAAGCCAGGGCATCTCTAGCACCACTATTCTTCATTTATAATGGTATGTTGTGACACATTTTACCTTTTCTATATATTAAAGTGCAGCTCCTGCAATTTGGATTTTGCGCTGGGCCATATTGCGATTTCGACAATATTTTGATTAATTGTTCAGCCCCAGTATAAATCTTGTTATAATAATGTTTTCAACAGTACAGTACGGCCTTATTATCCCTCCACTTTCTCCAAAGAGTGTGTGCTGTGAGATGTTCAGCAGCTCTTACATCATGTTGTTCTCAGGTGGTGTTTGTGAAAAAACTGGAGGCCTTCTCGTGTCTGCCCTACCAGCAGTTCTCCTGTGAGAAGAAGCATGATATCTATTTCAGTGATGACAGGATCTATGCCCAGTACAGGTACCGCTCTGCTCCACTCCCCATTTTTTATCAGTGTGTTGTCCATAGGCTGTTTAATAATTTTAACAATTTCTAACCAAAGTACGGTCATAGAGACTCAACCACAAATCAAATGCTGGTAACATTTGGCTGTGTCTTTTTATTTTGTGCTACCTTGATAAAGTAGTCATACTCAGGGTGAGGGATTTAGGAGAAACTCTGGTAACATGGCTTGATTTCTGGAAAACAAAAAACACGGATGAACCTGATATCATGGCACTTACATGCCTATCATGTGTCTGACTGTTTTGACATGTGTGTGCATGGTGAAATTTCAGACTATTGCTGTGACAGTGTAGATAGTTGAAAAGAAAGCTCATTACTCAGGAGCAATGCATCTATGTGTCCAAAATAATGAAATCCAGAGTTTTCTCCTTCTGAAGATAAAAGGTAAAATCTACATGAGTAAACTTCTAACTGGCAGTATATACATGCAACTTATTTACTAATGCCTCACACACGTATGGTCGGAAAAGCACCTCTTATCTCGGCGTGCAGTAGCCTGATGAGTTCATCATGGTGGAAAGATTTATAGAACCACACAGAAATAGCGTGACTAAAAGTATGCGGGTAAATGGCAGTGCTGTGTTCTTGCTTTTACTCCTCCTGCATCTTTCTCCCACTTTTAAAAGCTTAATGTTCACCGTGAAGTATCTGTGTGGACCACAAGTGAGTGAGTGCAAATATATCGCAGCCAGGCACAGATGCAGGGATTTGAGTCTGTCAACCATAAGTAAAATCAGTAGTAGAAAAAGAGCCATTGTCTGAACTTTCAAGTCAACTTAACTGATATAATGATTAATAAAATTGTTGTTTCACTACTCTTACATTGATTTTCCTTTATAACCATGAGTAATTTCTGTTACCAGGAACTCATTTGATTTGGTTTTAATGCTGACTGTTTCTGATTGTGTTTGCTCTTACTCGAATCTGATTGAACTTTCTTCCCGTGTGTGTGTTGTCAGGCATCTTCTGTTGCCAGAGTGTCTCCGCTGTTCAGAGCCCAAGGTCTTCTCCAAGTTTGAGGAGCTGGATTACCACATGAGGAAGCAGCACGAGCTCTTCTGTTGCAAGCTCTGCACCAAGCATCTCAAGGTATACTCACATAAAGTTACACTTAAAATATTCAGTACTTCAATACTCAGCAGTTCTGAATTTCTTCTTTTACAAAATAATGTTTTTTAAAAAAGCAGTAGCGTCGGTGTTGAAAACGGTTATGAATGTTGTTGCATTTAG